TCTGCAGGTATACCGGAATCGATGAATACTTCCATCTTCGAGATCCATGGCAATTACGCCAACACACCGGCCTTTGTCCATCATCAAATCAAGCGCAAAATACTCAATGAAATAACGGCAGTTGTACTGAAGCGATGAGCCGTACAATGTATGAAGCATCGAATGTCCGGTACGATCCGCCACACAACATGTTCTAGAATTAGAGCCTCAGCGAGTGAAAAAGCACGTTTATGAAAATCATATCCTTCCCTCTTCCACCCTCCTCTCTCTCCGCCTCATCCCGTCCCTCTTCTTCCCCCTCCCCCTCCCCGCTTCTGGCAACATCACGCCTTATCTGGCTTTAGTTGTGGTACTTTTGACCCCTTTTTTTGTCGAAAATGGATCTATTTCTTTGCGCTTTTGCAGCAATTCTATAAATTTACAGCACTGCTCTGCTTGAATCTCGCATCTTTTTGAATAAATTTTATCCCTTTGGCTAAACTTTGCGTTTGCTTCGATGGAAAAAAAGCAAATTGTGAAGGGGTGTGAAATCTGTTCCAATTTTTAAGTCGATTTTTCAAAACTTGAGAGCTCAACACTCACCAAAAATCCCCACGCAGATTGAGTTTGCATAATCAAAGATGATTATACCTGCGTGCTAAGCCACCTTTCCCGAAATTATTGCTTTGTCCACCGAATGAGCGCTGGTATATCTTCCCATCTTCGGTTCGCGAGAATGGCATTCCGTAGTTTTCCATTTCAACGACCGCACGAACCGCTTCTCGTGTCATGTAATGTATCGCATTTTGGTCTCCAAGCCAATCACTCCCTAAAAATCATTGGTGAGACGAACCGGGCAAGCCCGTGCGATCATTCGTTTTTGCAGTATCCTGTACTATTTGTTATAAGATCGCCTAGAATCTATGGCATAATGTTCCTCGAATTCGAACTTAAGAAAGTCGTACCACTATCACGTGTACTTGGAAAGGGAACATTCTGTTAAAATTTCAGCTTCCCAGCTTTTCTGGTCCCCGATTTGGTAATTTTCCTGTCAAGAAATTTCATGGGTTCGTATGTGAGAACCACACGTGCTTGGGGGTTGGGTTTGAAGCCTTTAAGCTGTACGTGGACAGGGAACATTCCCTTGAAATTTCAGCTTTCCGGCTTTTCTGATTCCCGAGTTAGCGATTTTCCTGCAAAAACCTTCACGTGCTCACAGGCGAGGCCTAGATGTGCGTGAGGGTTGGTACCGCGGTCCTGGGGTAGTACTTGACTGGGGAAACCTACTGGTGAAATTTTGGCGACGGAGCCTGCTTGGTTGCCGAGTTGAAATATCCGGACAGACGAGCACACACAAACACACCGGGGTCGTCACAATATGCGTTTTGCGTATGTATGTATGCAAAAATGCATAAAAAGCACCTTATGCCGTCTGTGTTTACAGTTTAGGAATGAAACACAGACAGGACAACAGCTAATGCACATACAGGCTCGCTTATCTGGATATCTGAATTAGCACTCACTGCTTTCCAACAACTGACAATATTCGACTGTGTCCCTTTCATCGGCTGGCCTACAGTGCCGAACAAACTTTCACAGTTTACATTTTTCAAAAAATTTCCAAAACTGTATGCTAATTTATTGCTAATTCTGTGGTTAACCCAAAGAGTCAAGCAAATTCACCTACCTTTAACAGTATCATAGAAATGCCAGCGCCAATCGTCCGGATTCATATTGCCCAGCGCTGCATTTACACCTCCTTGAGCAGCAACTGTATGCGATCGGGTCGGGAACAGCTTCGTCACCACAGCAACGTTCTGGCCTGCTTCGCTCAAGCCCATAGCAGCTCGTAAACCAGCCCCACCTGAACGAAAAAAGCCCATGACTGGGGAAAATTTCAATTTGAAAGCCGATACCCTAATTTGATCTTTAAAATACAGGGGGTCGATATCGTTAAAATATAATCCGGTATCCAAAAATATTCCATTTGCTTGCTATATCGTGATTTCTGGAACCAAATGCTACCTTTTCGTTAATTATAACGCTTATTTGCTCGGAATTTGGCAACTTCGCGGCTAAATTTCCCGCATCGGGGGCAATTCCAGAATTCTCGAATTCTAATTTCATTTTCAATCTCAATTTTCAATTTCAATTTCAAATTTTTCCAATTCTCAAATTCCAATTTCCCGCATCGAAGCCATCGAAGCCAACAACTTCTTGGCCAAATTTCCCGCATCGAAGCCAATTTTTTAATCCCATAGCCGAAAATACAATAATCCCCGCTCTTTATTCCTCACTTTGGTATCATTTTCCCCCAAACCATTCTTCCCCTCTCCCCTGTCCCTTCTCGTTGCCCCGCATTCCCCCTCCCCCTCCTCTCTACCCTCAAATGACATTGCTTTTTTTTACTTCCTCAGGTCGTTTTGCCCCAAAACAAATAATTTATTGTATTTCTGGTTCGTTGTCCTCAAGTATTCGGTGCGCGCCGACAGTGGTGCAGTTTAAAATAAATTTCCGGGTATCGCACTTATTTATAAGTTTAATGCCAAAATTATGCCATATCTTCAAAGACATCATCTATCCCTCCTCTTTTTTCCTCCTATGAGACGTCGATTTATCGCATCGGGATATCCTATTTTCAAATGCTGTCTTAATTCTGCTTGGAAGTGAAATTCCTGCAAGTGGTTACGAGAAATACATGACTTTACTAAAAAATCAGAGGTGCGTTTTGCAGCGAAGGTTCGCCCTCATGCAAATATGTAAATGAACATACAGTTCATTTACATGGATTTTTTTGACGAATGACCGCTCTATCTAGTTATTCACCAATCGCATCAAAGCCAGATTAACAGTTATATCCCGAAATGCTTCCCACTAACTTGTATTACTGGCCTTCACAAAAACGCGAGCCAAATCTTTCAAGGTCATCCGAGAGTCTTCTTTTTTTTCCCACAAATCACAGGTGATATCTAATCGGTTATCGGCAAGGCGAGCTAAATCTTAGTTGAGCTAAGCGCGGAAAAAAGAAGTACCAGCTCCAACAACGACAGCATCGTAGGCGTGATCCACAACCGTATATTCGGCAATATTCGATGTTTTTGCTTCGCTGCGCAGTGCCGATACCGAGAGAGCACGTCGCTGGCACGCCCTGGCCACGAAACCACGCGCCGCACCAAGCATCATCCTGAAAATCCCTGAAATTTACCATCATCCCTTTCTTTGGGACCCGAGTTGGCCGCAATATGCAGGAAAAAATCAGAATCCTTCCCCTATTCACTCGAAAGTTAGTGATAATTTTTTATCAATCGGTCAAGAAGAGCTAAAGGGGGAAACCACTAGGATGCCAATTCCCGGGAAATGAATTCTGGGAAAAAACCGTTGTTAGTTAGGGTGATAATATGAGGAGCAGTAATCTTCCACTAATCGGTTCAGAAGAGCTGTGGGGGAAATCACCGGGGTACTAGTCCCCGGGAAACGAATTCTGGGGAAAAAAAGTTTGTCAGTTGGGGTGGTAATATGAGAAGTGATAATCTTTTTTTAGTCGGTTCAGAAGAGCTACAAGGAGAAATCACTGGGGTAACAATCCCCGAGGAACGAATTCTGGAGGAAAAACTTCGTTAGTTGGGATGACAAATGAGGAGCGAAAATCTTTTACTAATTAGTTCAGAAGAGCTATATGGGGAAAGCACTGGGGTAACAATTCCCGAGAGAGGGATTCTGGGGGAAATATTAGTTGGGGCGATAATGTGCGGAGCGATAACCGTTTATCAGTCCGTTCAGAAGAGCTAGAGGGAGAAACCACTGGGGTATTTATTCCCAGGAAACGAATTCTAAGGAGAGGGGAGAGGGGGGAG